CCGCCTAAAAAGAAAACGCTCGATGCATGCGCAGCCTCTTCCTGCAGCTGCTGCTGCTGCAGCTGCTGCTGCTGCAGCTGAAGCGGGAAAGGAGTCCTATAAATGGCAGCTCTTTGGAAGGTTTCTTATGGAGATCTGTGCATTTTTTGCGTACGAGCTTTCGGGTTTCCTCGCTCGTTGAAGCACAGCTGATGCCTGTCAGTTCTCCTTGCTGTATCCTCTCAGCCAAACGCCGCACAGCAAACGAAGCGGTTGATCCTGTTCCCAGCCCGACCTTCATGCCTGACTGAATGCAGGTGTTCACCGCCTCTGTGGCCTACAGATTCATCAAGCATTTGCGCAAGAAATAAGAAGCTAGTCAGCGATAGACATCGTGGAATACTGGGGAAAATGAAGAAATCCATGGCTTAAAAGGATAAAAATGAACGGATAAAGTCAAAATGATTAAAAATAAAGGGAACAATTAAATTTTCGCAAGCTCCATAGGATGCAACATTGAACGCCAGAACGTCGTGCACAGCCGCGTGCTGCCTCTTGCATATGTGGAGCGATATGTAAACAGAAGGCTGCAGAGGAGAAAACAACTTAAACAACTCAAATAAAAACGCTCTAGATCTGGGAAAGATTCATGAATAGAAGCGCAGAATCAAGGATAGGCTTAACTGCTTCGCTTCGGTGCCAGTTTGCGGTGTATGTGCAGCTCGGGAATCTCAGACATCGTCACAGCGTTGAAGGCGGTTTCATTTGTAAATTAATGAATCTCACAGCTGCTTTCTTCGCCTCGTCGATTGGAGTCAACATTTTTTTCGTGTTTAAAGATACATGCAGCAATCGAGCGGCGCGAGAGAAATCGCCAGGAAACACAGGATCTGTCGTTCGCCTCCTTCGCCAAAGGAAAGTTGAGTATATTTTCGCGTCAAATCATTAAATTTAATCAATTTATCAAAGAAAAACCCTTGAAGAAGAAACGAAACCGGCGGTGGTCCATAGAAGCCGTCAGGAGGGCCCCCCTCCGCACTTTGCCCGCGGTCTTCTTGCAGTATTTCTGAATCTGGGCCGTTAGCTTCTTCCTTAGATGCAGCGTTGTGCAGCATCCACTAATAGTACGAGTTTCTCTATTTATAAATACAGAAATTATAGTTAATTCACAATATTTCAAACCATTATAGCAGAAGTATCTGTGAAAACACACACAACTACCCTCCTGACGACCACAACACCCCCAGCATACACCTGGTATTCCTGAACCAGCCTGAATCTGGGCCGTTAGCTTCTTCCTTAGATGCAGCGTTGTGCAGCATCCACTAATAGTACGAGTTTCTCAATTTATAAATACAGAAATTATAATTAATTCACAATATTTCAAACCATTATAGCAGAAGTATCTGTGTAAACAAACACACAACTAGCCTCCTAACGACCACAACACCCCCAGCATACACCTGGTATTCCTGAACCAGCCTAGCAAATGCAGCTTCTTAGAAGCCTCCGCCCTCCTTCTTACATCGTAATATCATTAGGGGCTTACTTCTCATCTTGTGTAGCCGGATGGCTGACACTCTGAGCTGCTTACGAGCCCCCAAACCTGAGCGATGCAAGGGGGGGGCACCCCCATCTGCTGGCAGCAACAGCAGCAACAGCAACAACAGCAGCTGGTGCAGAGACGGCAGTGGCATACGGAGCAGCACCAAGTAGACCAGAGGTCTTGGCATGCACCAGAACAGCAGCAGCCGCTACAGCAGCAGCAACAGCAGCAGCAGCGGCAGCAGCATACCATCGGCTTCGCACATGAATCATCTCAGCTGGGATCGTCTCGATGGCAGGCCTTGTGTACGTACACCAGAGAGGGAGAAGCAGAGCCGCAGCAGGAAAGCCCTTCACAGCGTTGGGGGCAACAGCTAGGGAATGAAACTCCCGACTGGCAACAGCAACGGTATCAGCGGCAGCAGCTGCTGCTGCAGCAGCAGTGGCAGCAGCAGCCACAACCCGATAGCCAAACTCCCCTTTCTCCGCAGAGCTGCTCTTCATATTCGCAGCAGCAGCAACAACAACAACAATATCGGGGTTCCTCTGGATGGGGCGGACCCAGCACACCTTCTCAGTGGGAGCAGCAGCAGCAGCAGCAGCAGCAACTGCAGCTTCAGCAGCAGAGATGGTGTGATCAGCCCCAAACTCAGTATGAGGAGATACAGGGGGCGTCATTACCGCCGCCTAATCCGTGGAAGCCTCCAGGGCCTCTGCGGCGTCGGCAGTGGCAGCAGCAACAGCAGCAGCAACAGCAGCAGCAACAGCAGCAGCAACAACAGCAGCAGCAGCTGCAGCAGCAGCAGCAGCTTAACGGGCAAGGACTACAGAAGAGCGTCTTCTACGAGGGGCACCCAATTGCAGCAGCAGCCCCAGTTCCGAGGTCTAAGAGGGTGTGGGGCTTGTCAAGGGTAGCAGCAACAGCAGCAACAGCAGCAACAGCAGCAGGAACTCCTGCAGCTGCCAGCAGCGGCTGGGACCGTTCATTCCCTCCTTCTAGTTTGGCTGAGCGCAACAGCAGCAGCAGCAGCATCAGCAACCGCTGCTGCAAAAGAGAGGAATTGCGTTTTGAGGGGGTGAAGGCCGCAACTGCAGCAGCAGCAGTTGCTGATGCTGTGCTGCAAGCTGCAGCGCAGCAGCTGCCTTCTGTGCTGCAGCCTGCAGCAGCAAATGCAGAGTTACCGGGGCCAGCTGGGCGTCTGCTGCGGCTGCGGCAGAAGCAGGAGAAGGGCAAGAGGATAAAGTGAGGCTTCGCGAGTTGCTGCTGCAGTCAATCCCTCAAGAACAGGGTTTAGGGTTTAGGGTTTAGCGGCAGCATGCCAGTGCTGCCGCTAAACCCTAAACCCTGTTCGTGTTGTCTGTCCCCACTACAGTATTACACCCCTTCTAGAACCTTCTTCAAGCCTGAGGCCTCCATCTGAGAAATAGGGTTTAGGGTTTAGTGTTTAGGATTCAGGGTTTACGGTCTAGAGTTTAGGGTTTAGAGGGATGAGGGTTTAGGGTTTAGGGTTTAGGGTTTGTTTCCACGCATGCAGGGGCCTAGCGCGGGAGTCGCCGTTTGACAGCATGGAGGGGCCTTTGCGTTCTGCGGGTAGTTCACAGGCATCAGCTGCTGCTGCTGCAGTTGCTGCTGCTGCTGCTGCTCCGGGCTTCACTCCTTCTCCTGGCTGCTGGGGCGGCGCTTGGCTAGGACTAAGTTACTGCGACACAGCAGCAGCAGCAGCAGCAGCAGCAAACGCATGCCCTGCTGACAGAGACGAGCAGAAGGCACCTCTGCAGCACTCTGCTTCCTGGGCCCGCGCTCTCCTCCTCTTGGGTCTTCCCTTCGACGGTAATCTGATTAGGGTTTAGGGTTTAGGGTTTAGGGTTTTGCTGTTGTTGCTGTCGTTGCTGCTGGTCTATTTGTCGTTGTTTTTGCATTGCTTGATGTCCTTGTTCCCCCTTACGCTGCTGCTGTTGCTGCTGCTGCTGCATAATAGCAGCTGCTGCTACACTGACGCTGCTTGGAGATGAAATAATGCATGCACTTTGTCTCTGCAGCTGCAGCAGCGGAAGCATCTCTGTCTCCTTGATATTTGCTGTGGAGACATCTTTTGTTGTGTCCTGCAGCAAACGAACTTCATGCATGCGTTTGCTGCTGCGTGTTTCGGGTGTATGTACGGCTTGTGTGCAGCTTTTCACTTAGGTTTGACGCCTTTTCCTTCCCCTTGTCCCCCAATGTAAGTCTTTAAAGGATTAAAACTTAAATAAACCCATAGCCTTTATTGCCGCTGCTCATGCATGCATGCTGCTGCTGCTGCTGGCGCTTGCTGCTGCAGCATGTCTTTCCTCGTTGAGTCCAACGTTGCCGCTGTGCTGCGCTGCTGCGACTCGGCAGTAACAAAGGTGAGACCGAAGAGCCAACTATTGCTGGTGCTGCAGCTATTGCTGCAGCAGCTGCTGCTGCTGCAGTTGTTGCTGCAGTTGTTGCTGCAGTAGCAGCAGCTGCTGCTGCTGCTGCAGTTGTTGCTGCAGTTGTTGCTGCAGTAGCAGCAGCTGTTGCTGCGGTTGTTGCTCCCTTTGTGGTGTGAGGAGTTGCGTCTGCGTTTAGAAATACAGGAAGTGCCTATCGTTAAGTGCTGCAGTTGCTGCTGCTGCTGCTGCTGCAGGTGCCGCATTTGCTACTGTTTCTCAAGCATGCAGTGATGGGAGACGAAGAAGGGGTCTTGTCTGACAGAGTGCTTGTTGCTGCTGTACGTACACCGCAGCGCCTCAGCAGACACCCCGCTCCCTGGCTTTGCAGCCTTTTGTCTGGCAGGGTCCAGCCCTCTATACTACTGTTGCTGCTGCTTGTGCTGCTGCTGCTGCTGCTGCAGGACCCAACGGGGGAAGTGGTTTGCTCAATTCATTCGTCTGTCTCTCAGGCGCTGCATCTGTGCCCAGGCAGCACCATAATCCTTCAGGAGGTGCGCATACACCCCAGCTGTTTCTGCTGCTACTGCTGCTGCTGCTGCTTCTGCTTCTGCTGGTGCTATTGTTGCAGCTACTGCTGCTGCTGGTACTACTGCTGTTTTTTAATGTGCGGTTGATGCTGCTGCTGCTTTTCTTGTTGCATTGCTGCTGTTGCTGCTGCTGCTGCTGAGAGCCAGAGAGCCATCTCCCTATTTATCTTTATTTATGTTTCCTTGTGTCTTTGCGAAGACATAGACATGTTCTGGTGTCTTATCAAAGACATATATAAATATTCACTTAACTCGTCCCTCCACCGTCTTCTGGTGTACATACACCCCACTGCTGCTTATTCTTGAGTCTACACTGTATATAACTGTATATAATATATACACATTTATTATTACATTTATTAGGTATATATATATATATATATATACATGCCTGCCTGCAGTGCATGCCCATGATACCAACAAGAAGGTAAATATACATAAATAAATATACATAAACAAATATAAATAAATAAATAGAAGTAAATAATATATATATATATGTATTGTGTGTTGGGTGTATGTACAGCCCACGGTATACTACGCGGCCTTTAAACTGCCGTTCGTTTTGATAACGCAGCGCTGTCTTGTAAAGGTCAGAGACAACAGACAGCAGCAACTGTCTCCTTCTACTGTCTCCTTCTACTGTCTCCTTCTTCTGCCTCTCTTTCTTCTGTCTCTCTCTCTCTCTCTCTCTCTCTCTCTCTCTCTCTCTCTCTCTCTCTCTCTCTCTCTC